AGGCCAGAATTTTCTATATCCAATCACCAGAGGCAGTGGAATGTTATAATTGCAAGCAAACTCTAGCACTTGAAATAATAAAACTAGAAAAATGTATTTATTTAAATGTAAAATTTTTCTAAAAGAGGCCCATAAAGCGCTGTGGACAGAGTAACACAATATTACAGCTAAACCACAGCAGCACTAAAATAATTGGGCAACAAAAAGCTGTTTGTTCATTCTTTCCCTTGTAAATCTCTCTCTCCTCCCATCTTTACCGTCTGAGGCACCAGGTAATAATGTCACTAACTTCTTATAGTATGTCCTTTTCATCATCAAGAGGTGCAAATATAGCATTACTAGACAACACGTTAGGCCCATCTACACAAGAAAAAACAAGTCTTGGAAAGGCCAATTTTTTCCCATCCCAGCCCAATCCCTTCCATGGTTTCTCAGTTGTTGGAAGTGTTTCACCTCCCTGTGAAACGAAATCAGGTATGAACTAGGATGGGCATACCTTACTCTTTGATGCTGAACCTCACTATGCTGATTGGGTGCTTCAGTGTTCACAGACAGCCTCTAAGAGAACAAGCACCCTGTGATGGTGCTCCCTTATTCAAGACAGCATCACCTATCAAAGGCAAGGGACAAAGCTTGAGGGAGCAACCACATGTTGAGAATCTTTTCCCATCTATCCAAAGTGCACGTTCTGAGATTTTAGTTGAGAACTGAGAGCAGGTAAGTATTTCAAAACATCATCATATGTCAAAAAACATAGCCAAGATTACTGCAGCCTACTGAATTTGGTACACATCCAGTAGAAGACAGGTCTAAACACATGAAAACATGCAGCATGACAGTACTCTGGTGAAAGTTTAAAAAGAGCACTTCGGCGTGTTGGCCCTGCTCATATTTTTCTCTGCTAGAGCAAGTTTGCCAACGAGCAGGCAAGAGCTGCATCAGTACCACCGCCCATGGCCAGGCCGGTTTCAGGCTCCCAGGAGGAAAAGATGGCTGGAAGCAGCTCGACTCAGACACGTGGCTGTGGGGATTGGCTTTTGCTATCAGTAATGGACAAGTCTCCCACCTTGGCAAAGAAATACGGGAGCAGAAATAGTGGAAAAATACCAAAGCAGGGCTATTTTCCAGTTTCTGTATCTAATGTTAACACTTAAAATTCTGCTGGGAGGACAGGAAGACAGAAAAGATAACCTGACATAAAAATTATAACATTGGAGCGAGGTACACAGAAGTCCTCTTCATTGCAAAGAAGCAGTCAAAATGACATCTATATCTATACCAAAGGAAAAATTTACTTCTGCCTTGAGGCAGCCTTGGCAATAACGTTGCTGCAAGCAAAAAACAGTTTATTGATTTGGGGGGAATTTAAATCCCTTTAATTTATTTGTCAGTTAATAACCTTCTAATTACTGCTTCTGGTATCAAAACACCCACACACTCTCCAACCCCCTTGCTGTACCTGGTCCCGGCAGGGAGGCCACGGGCAGGCGTGCGGTGCCTTCTCCGCCGACCCCAGTCCCTGCCGGGCCCTCCGGCTCCCCCCAGCACACAGCCAGTTCCTTGTGCCGCCTGGGGAGCTGGCTGCAACCGGCGCAGGGCAGCCCTGCCCTCAGCCCTCGCTGCCAACCGCGGCCGATACCAACATCATAGAACTCGGTCTGCGAGCAGACAGACCTGCAGGGAGTCCCTACAACATGGCGGGAGCATACCTCAGGGTTAAGGCAGGAGTCGATCTGCCGGCCAGCGTTCGGGAAAGTCTGCCATTTGCAACACGTCTGGAACCAGCACATCCTCCCCTAGGGGCTGTGAGACACTTTGAAACACACAGCTTTTCAGGACATCCTTCTTTTATGAGCTCTTTGGTAGTCATTGTCAAAAATTGATTTTGATTTTGTCAAAAATTGATTTTATTTTCATAAGTGAGCTACTCCCAGTCTCACCCTCCACCTTTGCCACAAGCTCACACAGCTCAAACACGTGAAATACGAAGGACCATGGGCACAAGCCACACCTGGCACTCACTCCATGAACAGATCAGAGCAAGCTGAGAGGTTACCTCCTAACATTAAGTTTGGTATCAATACATTTTTGTAGTTAACTCACAGCTGATGCATAGCAAGTAAATCCATCGTATTTGCCTACCTCTGGAGAACGAACACAGTCTTATACCGCAGAAAGGAGCTACATGCTGAAATGTCAGTAAAGCAGGACACAAAAAATTAAAGAAAGTAACTAAGCAATTCACACTTCCATGGGTCCCTTCATTCCTACTTCCAGAAGAAAGTTAGCATTACCATTTACTATGTGCAATATAGTAAACAAATAGCTTATACAGACAAGTTGTTTTTAAAACAAATCAAAAGCACATCAGTGAAACGTGATCTAAAATAAACCAGCTATATATGAGGATATCACTATTTCCCCTGGCGCTTCAGCATTCTGCAGCTGCAGAAATTCCTCTAAAAAAATTGAAAATAACTTAAGCCTTATGCTCCCACGAAAGAGATTTCCAGACACAAATATATTATATATATACATACGTACTCCATCACAGTAACCAGACCAGAACACTTGCACAGGAAAGCCCCTTGCCACACTTAAACATTTTGCTGATTTAGCTATATCAGCTGACATTATTTTTCTCCTTCCTTCCCAGCTATGCCAGCAAAAACCTTACTGCAGAAGCCCTTCTAGTGGCTGTGAAATTTTTCTGCCTGTATAAACTCTTCTTTTCATGGGACCTGGTTTAAGCAGCACCAACAGAAAAATTCCTCTCGTAGCCATAGGGACACCTCAGGAGGAAGTGGCAAGACAGAATAACGAATGTGTGCACGCAGGAGTGGTGAAGGCAAAGGAGAGAATTGCATCAGTCTATCTTACGGCTACATAAAAAGGGAGGAAGCAGTAACTGCCATCACACCACGTTTCTGCCAGCAGAAATTAAACTGCAAAGTCACAATCCTACTACAAGTAACAGCAGTAAAATTCTGCACACAGGTCAAACTGACCAACTTTACTTTGACAGACATGGCATTTTGTTTTCTATTTGGATTTTTGTGTCATGTTTTGTGTGTAATGTATAATCTTGAAAAACAAAAAGACTGCCTGAAAACATAAGTGCAACCCATTCCATTTATGTCAAGTAGATACTAATTCTATTCACCCCCCAAGAGATGACTAAGTGTCAGTTGGGTTAACTGTTTCTCTACTGATAAGACACATATCACCATTTCTTTACTAAAACCTCTCTCAACTCCAAACCATCTGTAAAAGCCTCTTATGAATAAAACCATCCATGTACCCCATCCAGGAATAAACAACCTCTCCACTCTTCCTAATGAGCATCCTTATAATGCAGACTCATCCTGACTACATGAAAAATGCTCAATATTAATAGAGAAGTGTGGGTTAGAAAACAACAGAAAAGTTTAAAACAGATTCAACACAGTTATAAAAATGGCCTTGTCTATGTTTCTACTCAAATATAGATCCTCTCTGCCTTTTTTTTTTTTTTTTAACCCCAGATTTGCTGCAGGTTATCCAGCCTGCCACATCACATCAACGCAGAAACCAGTAAGGCCTGGCTGCAGAATTTAGGTCAGCTTGTCTGTGGAGTACATAAGGTCTTGCACACAGTCATGAATTTCCTAGTAATGCTTCAATAATCCCTCTTCATCCTGTATGCAGCTATTTTACTAGTAGCTGCTAGCTTTCCTCTAATTCCGCAACAAAGACTCTCCACAGGAGGGATGTTTGCAGGCAAATGAGCCACTATCTCTTCCTTGGGAAGCAGGAAGCTGGTTGTTGAATCAAATAAATGCTGATTCTTATTCCTCAAGATAAAAAAAGTGAAGGATTCCCAATGCATATTAGAAAAGGACTTCCCTTTTTTAAGCACACAAGGAAATAGATAATCAGACAGAGCCGGAAATTGCCCCTAGAATATTAGGAATAATTTTCTTAACAGATAATCTAAACAAACCCCCACTGTTTCCACCTGGGTCAAATAAAAAATAACACTAAAATGTGACTAAAATTCAGACAGTCTAGGGGACATATGCTGGTATTTCTGGAGAAAAAGCATCACTCGAGGTGAAGAACACTGTGACTCTTCAAAGAATGCTTCCCTCTAGAAGTGAATTGTGGGCCACTGCCATCCCAAGCATTGTACAAGCACACATAAGTAATAGCTCTGTTCTTACGAAATCTCTAAAGGTGCATAAAGATACGCAAAGTCTTTTCAGAACATGGTCCTTGGAGCAGGAGTTACACATAAACTGGAAAGTACAGTTATGTAAGAAAAAAAATAATAAATTGAATACAGTAAACCAAAACCTTGAACTTCTCTGTCTTCATACGGTAAGATGAACCTAACTTTTAAAGTATGACAATCTGAAAGATGCAAATGCAAGAATAAGTACCAGTTTCCAGGAACGGTTATGGGAATCTCAACAAATAAAAACACAGCTAGCAAGCTGACAGTTGGTTTTGTCTTAAAACCCATCAGTCTGCTACCTTTCTGTGCTCTGTGGTTGCCGCATAACATTGTGCTTCTCAAAAGCTGACACTTGTATCTCCCTACTAGAACAGAGAATAAAGCTGAGGAAAAACTCTTTCCTCAAGACATCAAATTGCTCTTCAACATTCAAATATTTCTTAAGAGTATTCCTAGTCCATTCTTTCCAACTCACATGGAGCCTGGATACAGGTATTGGCAAACATACTGAGCTGTACTGCACATTAGATGTGTACATCAAATACCCCAGAAAACTCAAAGTTGCATTTGTTTAAGTTTACCTCAGATCTGTTACAGAATTTAAGCATATAACATGCACCCATGCTAGGCCCACAGATGATGTGGTGGCTGCTACTGGGCCACCATTGTATCACACATTAGCAAGACTTTTTAAGGAACAGAACTCTACTTTTATAACTAATGATCATCCACAACTTCACCTGAACTCAGCATCAGATAACTTTTCCCATTCCCGGCTCAGTACCTGATCAGGCTGTGCTTCTCCTCCTTTCTCCTCCGGCTTCAGCTGAGCTGAGTGCTGGCTCCAGGAGCTCCTGGTGACAAGAATATTAAGCCAGGCGCTGACAGTCACTTTCTCATTTTGACAAGTGCCACAGACTCCTCCTGTATAAAAACAAACTGCTGTGAATCAAAGTGGCCGACTAAAGTATTGACACTAGTGGGGTGTCAGAGAAAGGCTACTCTGTGACATAGAAGCAGAACGTTAGTCATCCTTTTGCCACCAGAGCCTGATTTCTGGAAAAGGCTGAGCACACTCTCATTTTAGTAATTTCAGAAATACTCTAAATGAGTTGTCCTATTATTGACAGAGATCCCTCAAACTAGTGATCTGCCATTTCCCACATATTTTCTTAAACGTATTGCCTCATCCAAACTTAATCAAGAGCACTGCTATTTCTAAGCCACTGCTTCCCTACACCGCACCATAAAAGCCAGAGCAGATCCCAGTGACGTGGTAGCTGCACATTGCGCATGCTCCACACAACTGCTTTGATCACACTTGAACCGTGGCATTACAGCAGCGTGCCAGGCAAGTAGGCCACGCTGAGTCAATAAGCTGCCTGGAAAACCTCTGGAAAACACCTCTATCCCCATGACGAACAAAATGGAGAAGAAACATGATTCTCCCCATCCTCCTTTAGCCCAACACCTCCACCAGCCAAGACCCCAGCACAGCTGCCTTCACCTCCAGCCACTCAGAGGCTCCAGGGCAGAGCAGAGTCCACAGATGGAAAGCAACAACTCAGCAAAACGAACAGCCAGACTCCAGCAGGTAATTAATGAGTATTTATTTTAGTTTGCTGCTTATTAAGTATGCCTCATTATAAATCAAGTATTTTACAGTAATTGCCTCCAATCAACAAACACCAAGAAAGCTGCTATGTAGACCGATGCTGCTCCATAACCAAAGCAAGTGCCCTAGCAACACGCATGACTCTACACGACTCTCCATGTGCAGCAGGCCAGCCACCACCGCCTCTCCTGCCCTGGCTGCACCCCAAGCAGCGCTGCTGCGTGCCCAAACCCTTCCTAGCACTGCCGACTGCTGCACGCTGCTGCCAGGGTGCAAACACCAGCACAGCAGGGCGGGTACTCACTGCAAGGCTGGCAAGCCCCGGCCCAGCTGGCAGTGGCACCTCGACAGGAACAGAGGCAGCCCCCAGCGTGGGCAACACCCCGCAGCCAGGGCTCAAAGGCAGGGACAACTGGCTGCATTCCCTGCTTCAGCCACCAGCCCACTGCTCCCACACTGGCAGCAGCGAGCTGCTCTGCCATTAGCATCTGTGCCCAATGCCAAGCACAATGCACTCACCCACCTGAGCTGCTCCCAAGCCAGTGCAGCAAAAAAAACCCACAAACAAGCAAAACAACAACAACAAAAAAAAAAAAACCCAACACCAAACCAACACACACACACTTCACTCAATTTATTTTCCGAGGCCTTTTTAGGGTTGTCACCCGTCACCCACTGGCATTCAGAAGCCCACAGGAACAAGCACTGTGTCATGCTTTCCATTGAGAGCATTTTAAAGGTCAACAGGAACCTGCTGTTCCAGGTTTTTTCTTAGCAGGAGAGACCCAGGATAAGGAGATGGAAAAGACACTGCCAAATAACACAAATAAAATACGCATCTTAAAGAATTTCCTCCTTCAAAGGGGTCAGGGTGGTCAAGTAGTCTCAGGAGAATTAAATTCCATTTTGCAGCATACATCACCAGAACTGGAGTTTTCAGAGACTGTTGGGTTTTAAATACACAGGGGGAAAAAACTCCAATTAGATACTTCACAAAGGTCTGCTGCAAGCAGATTTCTGAACAGACCTTTGGATCATACTTGAACTCTGACAGAAAACACTCTCACAGCCACAGGGCCATTCACCTTGGCTGTTTTTGTAACCTTTTTTCACAAGGTCAGAGACCCATGCAGAAAGGGCTTAAGCAGAGCTCACCATGCCCTCCAACACCTCCTCGGCAACCACTCCAAAGGCAACAAACAGTTTTTGAAAAGAGAAGGTAGTTCCCACCTCTAAAGTAGGAGGGCTGCCTTTTTTAAAAAAATGTATCAGCGTTTAAGAAAAGGTGTCAGGAGAGGCTGAACAGCACCATCTCCGCACTTGGTAAGGCGCAGAGGAACAGGACAACCTGTCCTCAAGAGCTGTATCACAATCTGAAAGACTGCTGAGGTCCATCACCACCACCCTCCTTTCTAGAACAGATTGAGCATATGAGTTGGATCATACCTGGAGGAGAGGTGGAGAAAAACAAATGACAAACACTCATAAGATTTTGGTTTAAAACAAAAACAGCAACCAGAAATAATCCAACCTAAAGCAGAAATTCTCATATAAATCCTATCAGTGCATAAGTAGATACTTGGGCAGATCCAAGATCAGTGAAGGAATCTTCCCCACAGTTCTTGCCACAGAAATCCTCCTGGATTTTGTTCCAAATCCCATTTGAGGAATTCTCTAATGCTTCTTCCTTCAGCTCCCCCTCCCATTTTTGAAGTACCATCATCAATTTATTAAAATGAAGCAATGTCTTACAGAGACATCTGCTGATACAAAAATACACACCCACTGTTATAGAGTGAGTATTTAGGACAGCAGGTACAAATGAGATTAAATAAGGAGCACATGTACCACTTCTCTTATAACCTAGTCCCCTCTGGCACTCATTCCCTTTAATTCTTCTCTTTTCTTTCAGGTCCCTTCAAGGCAGGGAAAGACTTACACCTCATTTACACTGGGGTGTTGGCATCACCCAGTGCCAATTTTATCTGAATCACAGTCAGGCACTTGGCACTTCAGGCATAACACGTTCAACCTCCAAATGCCACGTCCTATATACTGTAGCCTACATGTGGCTGCCTTCATTTGTACAGTCACTTGATCAAAGATCTTTTCCACTAAGGAAAACACTACTTCTGTTGTGCTTAACAGGGGTTGCATTTAACAGGGAAACAATCACTGCTAACAGAGTAAAAAAAAAAAAAATCAGATGATGCACTTAGAGAGCAAATTATTAGAATTCTGTAAAGAAATGAGAAGGATGGAAATCACAGTATTTGGGGAAAGAAGTAGAGATCTTGGAAAAAAAACTCAACTGATAAAATAGGTGAAGCAGTTCAGATCGTTAGAGGTTTAATTTCAGCACAACTGAGTAATTCTCAGTTCTACACGTATCTCCAAATACCCAGCTAACAGCAGACATTTGACAATCACATTGGTTAAAATGCCCTTGTTGCTACGTAAGAAAAACAACAAACTACTACACAGGAAAAATGGCATGCCATCAAGAGACAAGAAAAACCCCAAACCAGCACAGAAACCTACTGTAGAAGTATTGTCAAAAGCAACATGCAATCTAACCAGATAAACACCATATTTTGTTGCTATCTCTGAGATTTCGCAATCAGCTAAAGCTGATTTGTGGCCACCCTGCTGCTTAACACTCCCACTTTCTCCCCTGGTGTGTGCCTGAGAGAAGTGTCCTGCCCCACCAAGGCAGAGGCGGGTGGGCAGGATGGCAGGACTTCCCCTTTCAACAGTAGTGTGAGCTCAAATTCGCTCCAGCTGGTCTGGAAACCACACTCCCTTTGGAAAGCACCTTAGGCATTGCTCCTACTCCATGGGAGCCTACAGGATCCCACTGCTGCTCCCTGCAGAGTTCATTGCCCGTGCTAGGGCCTCGCTGCAGCTTTTCACATGCCACCCAACACCCCCTTCATTTCGGGAGCTCCCTGTAATTCTTTCCTTCTCTTCGCGGCCACCTCATCTTCCCCCCTCCACGAGCCATGGGCTGCAGACAAACTTCTCCCTGCTTCCTCTCTTCTGTTGCAGAAGGCAGGAATATAACCAAGACATTAACAAATCAAACCTTGCTGGGCAAGCACGCAAAATTTCCCAGTGCTATAGGTAACTCGTTTGATCCACAGGCAATAAGACAGGGGGCTGCTGCCGGTAGCTCTGCTATTACATTCTTCAGCAGATAGCAAGCCAGATCTAAGCTCTTACAAGTTCAGACAGCAAGCAGGTAAATAATCAGACACTGAAGAAGCTTTAACATGGATGAGGTGACAGAAAGCAGCAGCTATTACCAGTGCAGAGGGCTAACACCCTCTCTTCATTCACAAAAGAAACACCAAAGTAGGAGCACTGTGCTCCTCACGCTGACCAGCTGCTGCATACTGGTTGTGGCCAGGATGTTCTGGGCTGCTGCGCACATGGACTGACTGAGATTTAACAACACAAATTAGGCAGGTGCAAAACTATTCAGCCAAAACCAGGCTTGTACCAATTTAACCTGTAAGTTTATAGGTGCCCCTTAAATTTGTCATAATGAATATATATATGTCCACACAGGACTCTCTATTACTTTGTAACATGCTTTCAAGCTGATGGCAAACCGGGTGAAATTGGCCATTCAGCTGTGAGCACCAAAGCCCTGTTTCTGGAGATGAGAATCCCTCAGTCAAACAAACGGAATTCATACATTTTTCAAGTACAGAACAATACAACTTAATGCTTTAAGATTTTCTTTTATATTTACTCAAACTTATCTCAGCAATTTTGTTATCTCCTTTCCTTTGCCACACTTACTATTTTCTTTTTTAATTTTGCATGCCTCTCATTTTTCTTTGCTGGCTTTACTACATGCTTTACTATTTTTGTTCTATAGCTCTGGCCCCAGCAGTTTCTGTGTTTAAAATCTGTTTTGGTTAAACCGATTGATGCTAATAAAGACACTCTTGAATCCACCTTTCCATTTAGGTACATCTTAAATCAAATTACACTAAAAATAAACAAAGTGTAACCACAAATTTTAACCACTGGAACTAGAGTCTTGTCCAAACCACCTCATCTTTCATTTTCCTGATTTATTAGTAGTACACTTCTGTCTCATTCTCAGTCCACTCTTTTTTTTCCAAGAATGACTCCTCCCATTATCTTGTTAGATACTTTCCACCAGGACACTAGCACTGACCAAACTCAATTTCTGCAGCACCAATAAGCATTTGTCTATCTGCATTCCTCTGCTTCCTTGTTTCAAGAGCCAACAGATTTGTTGTCAGAGGGATAGGAAAGGAGAGGTACAAAACTATGAAGCCAGCCTTCCCCTTCTGTCTGCTAACAATGCCAACGAGGTAAAACTGAAGAAATTTAGTATGGGTTATAAAACAGCAAATGTTACTTTACAAGCTCAAGTGCATGAAAAGTTTTGTTTCCCTTTTGTCAGTTCCTCTTCTAAACTAGGTAGTTCAGGATTTATTTCTTAATTTAATTAGACAGAAAGCAAGTACTTGCAAGTTTCTGGATGGCAGCCGTTGAGAGTAACCCTGTATGTAGACTTCAGTTTGTATTTTTAAACACCAGCCGGATTAAGCGTGAAGTCTGATTCCTCCAGATGCATCTCTGATGAAGGCAATTGCTAATGCATGTGGAAAGTGTTTGTAACCATAGTGGTGCCTGAAAACAAAGCAAGCTAACACACTACCTTTCATACTTCTTACTCAAGCTTTAATGCAGTGATTGTCAGACCAAAATAATTCCTATCCTCCCTTTCCATGATCTGTACACAAAATACTATGTACAAATATGCAAGATGGACATTTTTTTAATCATTCACTGACATTTGCATTGGTTTAGTGGACAAATTTATACTGAACAACCCAAATTACATCAGCTTAACAATGTGTTCCTCCGTGCAGGACTTCAAAGGTGACAAAATGTCTATTACATAATACTTCCGTATAAAATATTAATATTCACAGGGGAAGCTTTTGAACTGAAAGGTTATTTTGAATAATTAGGAAATCAGTGTTGTATAAGCTTGGATTTTTAATCAGTATATTTGAGAGAGACAACAAACTATACTTTTTGTTGACAAAATATGACAAAATCAACTTTGTATGTGCACATGTCAAGGTATACAAAAGATCTCCCTGTAGTTACCAGCATCTCTTTGACCTTATGGTACTGCAAGATTATAGATCTGCCTCCATCTCTAGCATGCACAGCTTCAGCAAGCCTGCCCTAGGCTTGGGTGTTCTTTACACAAGTTCTCACACCAGCTGAAAGTGTGTAAGCATCCCTTCCTCCCTATCCTGCCATGGCTGAAGAACAGGTAGGTATACAGATGTCATATTCATACACACATCTTATGTGCTTGTTTTCTCCTTAGAGTTATAATCTCAAGTTGGAAAATCACTGCAGCAAGAATAAAGTGCTTCAAACAAAGTCCACCCAAAAAAACAAGGTTGCTTTTAGTAGGCATGTTGGTATCTGTGGCATTGGCCAGACTTGAAAACACTAGAGGTGCGGCTGCCCTGACTTCTGTAGAACCCAAGGGCAATCAGGAACACCTTTTATAGAGAAACTTATCTCAGTGCTGACTTGTAAAGAATGAAGTCCAAAGGAGGAGAGAAAAAAACAAAACAAAACAAAACACAAAAAAACAACCAACCTAAACCAGAACAGCACCTCAGCTGTAGCTTTGTAGCCATTAGGTTGCATGAGGGCAGGTAGGAGCCTGCCTCACTTCTTCACTGCAAGGCCTATAAAGAGCCTTCATTTTTTTTGTTTTGTTTTTTCCTTTCTGTGTGTATTTTTACATAATGAATCTAAGGAAGGGTTCCATCTAGAGCATCACTGGTCTCCAGAAGATGCTCCAGCACACTGTTTGCTGTAGGCCTCATTGTACTTCCAGCTAAATGTGAGTGTCACAGATAAGACATCTAAAACATCAATACACACCTGTATTTAGGCAGCCCCACCCATGGTCTCAACATAGAGGGGAAATCATCAGGAGCTGTGACTCCTGCAGAAAAATCCTGAGCAAGTGAAGAGAGGGATTTTAAAACTCCTGTTTGGGAATTGTGCAATTTGTTTCAAATTTAGATGCACGGCAAATGGTTTGAAATGGTTGATAGAAAATAGGAACAGCATTTCATTATCTGTTATGTCCACCCCTTAGGTCTGAGAAATCTTCCATTGGATTTTCCTGGTCTTCAGAGGAGACTGTCATAAGACAAAACACCCGAGATGTACAACTTTTAACAAACAGACCATATACAAAAAGGGTTCTTTTCTTAACACTAACAAGCAGCAATGCAGGTCACAAGAACTGGACCATTTCTTTTTTCTATTGATCACACAATACAAAACGCAGGACCGTGACGAATAAAGGCAATTGCTATCCTCACCAACTGCTGGCTGCCACATGTTTTCAGCCTGGTTATTTTTTCTGTTTCTTCATCAGCCACCTTCACCAAGAAAAGGGTCTCAAAACAAACAAACAAACAAAAAATCTGAGCAACAAATAACTTCACTCCTCCCCTAAGGGTGGCTGTATTTTACACAGTGATTGTTTCAGAAGTCTTGAGTATCACTACTATTTTAGTCTTAGAGCAAATCACTTCTGAGGAAAAAGCTTATGTGGAAAGAAGGAAAATTACATGTAGCAACAGTTTTGAGACTACACGAACAACGTATTTTCTTATCCTGAATTATACTGTAAGAGGAAGAAGAAAAGGGAAGGTATTTCTTTTAAAACAGTGCCAACAAACAGGTCCTTGGTACAGCCATACTCTCCTCCCATACTAATGTTTTCCTCCAAGCGTTGGGCAAAAGTGGCATTTTGCTGGCCTGATGCCAAGAAAACAAGCTTCCTCCTTCCAAGGATATCTCCCTGAACACTCCGGCAGCTGTGACATCTGAAGGTCTTTAAGCTTCTCTTCCTATCCATTTCCTGAAGGGGGGCAGGAACCTGCTCTTGCAAGACTGGAAGAATACAGATGAAGAAAATACAGAAATAAGTGAAAAGAGCTTCAGTTCTTTTAATTAAAGAAACTTGTGGTGAGAGAAAGATTGACGCAGTGTCAGTTAAAATTAATGATGTGGAAATGAGTATTACTGGTAGTATCAGAAAGTGCCAACTTGACTTGTGACGCACTTTCCTTTTTAACATGCCAAAATCCAAGATGATTCTCAAGAAGTTAAACACTAGAAATACTGGCTTTGCTCTTTCCTAAATTTGTTTGGAATCTCTGAGGGGAAAAATTGTTTGGCAAGCAATCAGTACCTATTCTTTGTTATATGGTTAAAAGAAAATTGCACTCAATTTGCTTAGACCAAAAGATCTTGAGCCAAACCCATCCCCAATGCAAGCAAGTCAAACAAAAAAATGTGGCTCAAAGTGTTCCCAAGATAAGAGGTACAGAGTAGCTTTGAAATAGCAATTACAATCGCTTTTACAAATATAATGCTGGTATCTGCTAGAAAACTGCATTTCACAAACATCCTTCTCTGTATTTCAGCCCTTGTCTGGCAAATACTTACAAGTGTAGGCCCACAGCACCTCAACATCACAGCCAAGAATAAACACTGTCAAGATCAAGCACCTTTACCATGATACCCAGAGAACCTTATGCATATGTGCGTGTTCATCTGTGGAAAATTACTCATGTGCACAAGTTTTTGCATAGTGAAGTCCACAGACTTTTCACTGCTTGTTATAAAAAAAGTGTTTAAAATGTCAGTTACACAAAAGCACAGACAAGTCTTTATCTAAATGTAAGGTTTCTGAGGCAAATTATTTCCATTTTTCTTAATACAGCAATAGCTTCTTTTTTTTTTTTTCCCCTAGGATATAATCTTCCCACCACCAAGAGACAATAAATAAACAAAATAAAGCAGAAAGAAAAAAAAAAAATAACTGTATAGTCTAGTTTCAATGCTAGCAGGAAATGGAGAAATTTAAACAGCAGAAACTGAAATAACATGCTTTGTTTTTTCCACTATATATAGTAACATTTGAGTACAATGTAAATACTGCTAATTCTGTTTTATGAATATTTAGGGATCTACACCAATTTTATGAATTAACTGGAAGTTAGAGACTGCTTTTCTGACAAGAAGTTAAAACCTTCAGAGTTCATTATTTGGTAAAACACAAACTTTGAAACTCCCTTTTGTTTGCACCCAGTTGAGAAACTAGCTTACTGGGTTCCCCTGTGACATCACTTGTGACTCAAGCTACTTGTTAGTAAAACAGCCATCACCAGCCCCACACTGTTTAAATGTCTTAAGCCTCAGGACACTAATTCATCCTCAGTGACCACAGCGTCCGTGTACCCGTTTCAAAACTCCCCTCTGGCTCTCAGAGGCACAGGAGAAAGCAAAGGGAGACCCTGGGCTGAGGCGCTGAGTCAGCACTCTGCAAGCCACCCCAAGCCAGCCCACCCGTGCACTGCAAGAGGAGGAACTGACACAGCAGCCGGTGCCATCAGAGAACACAGAGGAGAAAAGAAACCCAACGAGTGGTACAGAACCTGATTCAAAATCCACTTACTCCCACTGGCTTCAGCAGGCTTTGAATGGAAGGAACAGAAAGACCTGGAGAAATTTAAAGAACTAACTTCAACGTGGGAAATTTCAGTACAGTCACTTCTTATAAAACAGCACCAAGACACAACACACATGGTCACAAACACTTTTGACCACAGGCACGTATGTACCCTCTTCTCCACTGGCATTTATTTTCTTGTCCTCCTGTCACTGGCAGGACCTATTGCAAGTATATCACCAACAGCATTAAGCCTTTTTCTTACTCTCCAGGCACGCAGTCAAGAAAGCTACCCATACACAGGATGTACAGTTGTGATATCTCCGTACCAGCACCTGCCTACTGCTACAGAAGAGAAAGAAGCTTCTCTGAGGCGACCGGAACACAGGGCTAAGAAATAACTGGAATACAAGAACTGTATTTCACATGTGCAGCTATGTGTTAGTGCAATGTACACTAGTTAATCTTTCCACAGCAAGCACCTAAGTGCTTTTGCTCTCTTTGCATTGTTATAATACAGGTTTATTCCTATTAATAATTACCTTCCTGTGACAGCAGCACACAGACTTTCTCTGTTACCAGTGCTGCTGCTTTAGAATTCCTCCTCCAGGTCTGAACACACTGGACAGATTACTGTCGTCCCCCCCCGTATGTCAGGACTGGTACAGATACCTATTGTGCAAATCTGGATCTTACAAAATAAATTACTGCTTAATGCTTTCCTTCCCTATATTACCTTATGTAGCCTTTATAAACTTTGGATCTTTATCAAAGTAATCTCGATTGCAAGTAACATTATCTATTTAAATATTCCTTGCCTATTATGTGCAAGAAAACAGATAGAGTAGACGTAACAGGCAACTGTTTTTCCAACTAAGCAAGACACAGGCAAAGCACCAAATGAGTTTACTGTAAAGGCAATGCTTGCTCAGAAACATAGGAGAAAATGGTGTACAGCACAGAAAAATATAGCCACAGTATCATATTCCTAGATTGAGAACTCATAGATCAGTTTCAACTAACAATAAAAGGTTTATAGGGGATTTGTAAATCACAAAGAATGAACAGGATCCTGGCCTGTGAGCAAGGCTTGGTGAATTAATTTAAAATGGCAATCAAGAGCAAATAACACTAACCTTCTATACTACCAATCCTCACCTTAAGTTTGAAGAAAGGGGGTTTCCTCTCCCACCAAAAAAAAAAGAAGACACAGAGAAAGGGACTTAGCTACTCCATCGGGGATGAGGGTGCTTTTTTGATAGCTCAGAGCTCTGGGATCAAAATCTCAGTGCCATTCCTGCAAATTTCTCACATCCCAAAGCCCCTTCTCCCAAACAAGGGGGCATAGCCATTCCCCACCTTCGGTTTCAGAGGCAGACAAGGTGATCTCTTCCTATCACGGCTGTCAGACATAATGCTGAAAAAATACCAAAATACTTATCTACACTATTTAATTAAAAAAACAAACAAACAAAAAACCCCACTGTAACTGACAATGCTTATGAGTAGCAGGTACCTCAGAGCTAGTACTGAAGATGTTTTGCTCTCTGCACCAGCAGCTAAGCCAAGTGAAACATCACTTTCAGCACCACCATTACAGGAAGTACCGCTGAGACTTACTCCACCAAACAACAGGCTGGTTACCACTGCCGTCCTCCATTTTCAAGTCTGAGTAACCTACCTCATGGCTCTTACACACTGGGAGCGTCCAGAGGAGAAACTGCCACGGGCTGCTGGCATGCTGCAAACGCACAGCCTGCATCCCCCAGCTGACCGCAGACCAGCTTCCCTCAAGGATGCTGGGCAAGTCACAGGCTTTTCTGCGCCTGAATTTGTGCTTGTTTAACAGCAGTGGCAGCACTTGTAACGGGGACGAGGGGGAAATGGAGGTTGCAAGTCGGAGGAGCTGCTGTGCCAGGCTTGGGGATCCTCAAAGAGCAGGAGTTGGTATTGCCACGTACTGGGGAGCAGGGGGAAGGGAGGGGACGTGAGTCGGAAAGACACCGATGAGTCTCTGACAAGGGCTCCATTTGGGTCCTGAAGATGTGTTTTATTGACTAGCTCGGGCCCCTTTAATCTGCGTACGGTGCAACACCGAGCACAGTTGACCCCGTGCAAAAGCCACGCAGCCGGCGGTCCCCGCTCGGGCTGACCGCCGCCAGTCCCGGGAGGGGGCTCGCTTCTCCCAGCTGCCTTCCCCGGGAGCACGCCGTCCTCCCCGACCTGCGGCCGGGGCTGGCCCCGCTACCGCCGCCGCCCGGCCCCCGCACACGCCGGCACGTCCCGCGTGGACGGGCACGCCGAGGCGAACACACCGCGGCGAGCCACAGCCGCGACCGTGCCCCCGCGGAACACCGCAACGCAAGCAAACCCACCCAGGCCGTTCTGAAAGCGGAATAAAGGAAAGCAGGGAAGGCAAGCGCGACGGGAAGCGCAGGGAGGGAGAGGCGGGGGGTACCGGTGCTGCCGCCCCCTCCCCGGCCGCCTCCCGCCAGCCCCGCGGCTCGGCTCGCCTCACCTCACCTCAGGGACGGCCCCACGGGCCGGGGCGGGGAGAGCCCCGAGAGCCGCCCGGCCGGGCCGGGCCGCGCCGTGCGTGCCGCGGGGGGCGCAGACCGTCTCCGCAGCCGTTACTCCCGCGGCGCTGCCATGCGGAGAAGGAGGGAAGGGGAGGCCGGGCAGGGCGGGCTCGGCTCCTAGCAGCGCCCTGCAGCGCGCACCCGCATGGCTCGGCGCACGGACGGCACCGGCTGCCGGCGGCGAGGGCCGGCCCGGCGGCGGCCAATGGCTCCCGCGGCGCCGCGCATGTGAGGGCCGGGCCTGGCCGCGCCGGCCCCGCCCGCTCGCCCCCCGCGCAGCCGCCGCGCTCAGGTGCCCGTGCTGCGGGCCGCCGCCCGGCCCGGGGGGCTCGGGGCGCGGCGGCGGGGCCGGGACCAGGACCGGGGACCGGGACCGGGACCGGGGACCGGGAGCAGCTGTTAAGGCTGGGGCGGGAGGCGCCGCTGCGGGGGTTGTGCTGTGGCGCTGCGCCAGGGCGGTCCTTGGCGCGGCAGTGGGGCGGGGGGAAACGGCCGGTGGCCATGAGCGGCAAACGGTCTGTGCGGGTAAATGAAACGGGGCACGTCAGGTCAATAAAGTAGCGACAAGTTCAAATTGTGTCGTTTAATTATTACAATGTTCGCGGGGGTGGGGGGGTGGTGGTGTTGGAAGTAGTTAGTTTTCTTGCATCTGTCTCGAGCCCTTGAGGGAACCAGAAAGTCAGAGGCAGCTTAACTCGGGTGGGGGGTGGCGGCCGTTCGGGTCGCAGCTCCAGAGACCGAACACAGCGCGCTGAGCAAGGAGACGAACCGAACCCGATCTTCAGCCCAAAGTCCGTTGTTTTTTTTGTTTTTTTTTTTTTTTTCTCCTCCTTTAACTGAAAGGGCACCGATGTCCTGAAGTCTTTGTTGAACACTGACCCGACAAGTGACTGGACCTGTGGGGATTTTTATCTAGAACTGGATGTAGCCTATTACTTCTGAAGCTATATGGAACTCGATCAAGAACAGAATTAAAACCAAAAAAATACTGTCTCATCTTCTTCCAAATTTTGTTTCATCCTCATGATTTCAAGGAACTCGAGGAGATGAGAAATGATCCTTTGGTGCTTGTTCAGAATAGCTTTGTGGCCCTTTAAAGATTGAGAATCTCCCTTCATATTTTTAGATGCATTTTTAATCAGACCTTCTAGTCTAAATGACTGTAAGATGTATCTAAGGCTACAAATGAAAGCACTTCTTAGCAGCAATTCAGCTTCTGAGACCAGAGAAAATCAGGCCAGCTTGTCCTGCTCTCAGCTGTTCAGCACTATTTTCATACCAGAGTTTTCATCTGGTGGAGAATTTTAGCAGAGTTCAGATTTAGTCTAATGAGCTGTCAATTATTTTAAGCTTTGATTTTTAATACCTTCACTTGTCCTTTTAGTTACTTTCCTCCCTGAGATCATCAACACTTATGTTATTTTTGGCCAGCATTTTAGACCTCGCTGTTTCCTCAGTAAGGTGAATTTATTCTCTGTTTATTTCTGCTCTGACCCAGTGGCCAAGCCACATAGAGTGTGTAATACCAAGGCTCCACAGTGATGTAGGGTTAACAGAGATAAAAGCAGTCCAATCTGGTAAACATCAAGGCAAGTGAAAACAGATAATAACAAGAGCTGCTGGCGGGGAAATCCTGACTCGCAGACAGCTGGCAGAGAAATTCAAGCGGAAGAAAAAGGATTTTTTCAAATGCCAGAGCTGGTCAGAGCTAGCTGAATCCACATTCACTTGGCAATCAAGACACCTTGCCAAGCTGAGGCACACCAGCAAAACAAACAAATAGCTCTGGGGACCCGAGGCAGAAGACACCTGGAACTGGGTAGATCCAGATCCAATTAGAGTCCCTTTCTGACAGGGCAAATGCAAGTGTGAAAGACTTACCTCCTACAGAACATATGCTGGGTTGCTTGGTTTGGTTTGGGTTTTTTTGGTTTTTTTTTTTTTTGTTTTTTTTTTTTTTTTTTCCCTTGTTGTGATATGTATTTAAAGGTAACTCAAATTTTCTTTAATTTCAAACTCTACATTCCTTCCTTTCAAACTTCTCTAGCAGAGACCTCTTCCACTGTCTCAGGTTTAGTCTCCTCTGGGCTCAAGCCTCATGCTTTTGGGCAGCTCTTTCTAGATCGCTGTTTCTGGCTCTGGCTGTCTGGGACATGCTGAGGTGGGATAAAATAGAGAGGAAGTGAGTTAAAAACCTGAAAGAGCTCGGTTTGGGGCAAATATATGTCCCGGCTGTTCTGTTATCCTCCTACAGCCTACAGGGTTGTTTCAGCAGAAGTGCAATTCAGCCATCTCCGAGTTACTTCATGTGATAAAAGAGATGCCAGAAAAACAGAGACAGTAGAGGAAAAATGGCTTCTTTCCACTTGCGCAGTTTTGACGTTGGCCCATTACAACTGAAATTAATATTGTTATTTTGATCTGTGGCTCAGAGGACTGAATTAGTGATTACATTAACAAGCAATAGCAATGCAGCCATATGCCTCACAGGATAAATTCATCCTGTTTGTTTTTACAACTGCATTTTAGTTTAAATGTTTCAAATGCCCTAACCTTGACTACAGAAAAGATGTCAGATTTTTCAACCTTAGCATTATCCCCATTCTCACATCATTACAAATTTTCAGAAAATATTGGTCCTCCAACAGAGTTATGGTTTTGGCCATGTTGAAAAAACAACCATTTATCCTGATATGTTCTTTCCTTCTTTCATTCACACGGCCATCCTGTGCATGTCAGATAGCTGGCTTGGCATTGTCCAGTGGGTGTCCAAGCTCAGTCCAAGGGAGCCAGGTGCAGGAGGGACACCAGCAGAAGGTGAACATAAGGAAGAGATGGTGCCAAAAATAGCAAGTGTCAGCAGTTCCTTGGAAAACAGTGAGGAAAATCCATACTGGGAAATATTTCCGTCCTGGATTTGAGTGGGCTGACAATTTTTTCTCCCAAGCAAATTTAAGATGAAGGGGAATATTAAGAGGTAGATAAGGTAGATACTTGTGAAGAAGTGCAGATGGCAACACAGGAGGGAGATATGGGCAGGGAACTGGCTTTCCCCCCTCCAGAGACACAGCGATTTGGCTTCACGGAACAGGCAAGGCTTGAAGGGGAAGACTCCAGTTTAAATAAGGAGGAGGATGCATATGAGTCACTTCACTTGGATACTGGCCACCCATTCCCAAGTAAAAGGGTTTCTAAGTGCTGAACAGTTCAGCCCGTGGTGATCCTCCAGGACATGTGGGGAGAAAGATGGGGTTGGGGATGCAGTCACGCTTATCAGCCCTCATCTGCCACTTGCCACCCACCCAGCCATTAGTGCCACCTCTGCGCTTCCGTGGGGTGGAGAAGCTGGCTTTCCAGGCAAAATTAGGCAACATGTTGGCAGCTGTTTCATTGCCCTGCAGTCAGATGATGCTGGCAAGGGCCTGCTTTGCTTGTGCCCGCAGCTGGCTGCGGAGAGGCTGTTGCATGGAGAGCCAGCCCAGGGGTGAGGGGCTCCGGGGCTCCGCTCTTCACGAGAGGAGAGGGAAACCTGTCACCCAAGGGCTGCGCTTCTGCACTGCAAGGCTGCTGCAGCTCAGTGTGCCCCCTGTCCAGGACACAATGTCAAAACTTTTGGAAAGCCTAACTAAATCATGTCAGACAATTCTCCTTTAGCTACAGTTTTACTGACAATCACAAAGATACCTAAGAAACCAAAGCAGCATATTTTCCCACTCTAAAAAGCATTACAAAACTTTATTCCTACCATGCTAGGTTCATTTATAATTCCATCAATTTAGGTTTTTTTAATTCCTTCCAACCAACTTTCTTTGCTACTTTATAACTCCATCTTAAATAATTATTCAGACCCGTGTTATCGCTTTTTCTGAAGACACTTCACTATTATGCTTGTCTTCAAACACCTGGCACAGCAGCCTCTATATTAAAAGCATGGTGACCTTTGGAGGCCTTGCAAGCCAGCCTGTTCAGATTCAGAGCCACAACTCTTTCCCAGCTTCTGAACTTCCTGGTTGGAAAAAGTCACTCCCTCCTTACCTCTTATTTGTGCTGAAAAAGGGAAGAGTCTCTCTGTCTTCCAAAGTCAGAATAGCCATTTTAGATAAAAACCAGTTTCTTCCCCCTTCTAATTACATCCAGAACTCCACAATGCACTCACCAGTTCTTCTGTTTCGTTTGCAATAATACAAAGCCAGTCACTCAATGTGCCATGTGACCATCTAGAAACAGAATGGAGATTTGGGGGATGAGGTCTCATTCTTAGCAAGTACCTTTGTATTTTGAAACAACAAGAGGAGCAGCCGTGATGGTGTGCATGGTAAGCATCGTGTGTTGTCATGCTGCAGCTCAGCAAAGTTTTTCAGGTGACAGCAGGAATGACATAACTTTTCCTGTCTGCTTCTGATTACACAGAAGACCTAGTTTTCATGTGTTTTCACTTTCTATCCAGTGGATATACCAACAGATGGCCAATCTGTTTCATTCTGTAGTTATCAATAAAGGACTATAAATTCACAAAACACACAGCATCATCTGAGACAGAAGGGAGTCATGGCAGGAAGGCAGGAAGCTGTGCTGCTCGCAAACACCATTGCCTGCCCTTCACCCTGGCTGCTTGCCTGCGCAGGGCTTTAATTTGGCAGAAGCAGGAATAAGGTTGTGAATTGCATGGTCAACCAGAGATAGAGTCAAATGTAGTGCCTGGTAACATGGCATCTTCGTACTCAGATCCCAACTCAGCAGCATGCCAGGTACCACCATGGAGCTGCTGACTACCTTGAGATCTTTAGAGCCAGAGGGCTGGGTGGGGGAGTTTTAGTCTGTGGCTGAATTAGTCCATTTCATCTCCTTAACTCTTCCTATTTTCCTAATTTTGCACTTTAATATTTCTATGAACTCTATCTCTTCTGCTCATCC